TAAAACATTAGCTTTTCTGGAAAGTAATTGTTTATTCTATTTAAATAAAAGAATTTAAATCTGAGAGTAAATTAGTATTAAAAAAATATATCTTTTAATTTTTAAATATTTTTCTGAATATACTAAAAAATTTGCTTTGTGTCTAAAGAAATTGACTATGATAGACTGACTGTCTATTCCCGCATTACCAGAAACATATAGTCAAATTGAAAAGAATTTATATGAAAAAATAAAAATTATATATCCCTTCGTATATTAATTAGTCCAAGTCACAAGCTTTCACAAAACTACTTCGAAAAAATTCCCTCTGTCGAGTTTCCAAACGCCGAAGAAGTAAATTTAGAAAGTAATTTTAGTATACGAGCTACGTAGTAATACAAACGAATAATTCTGACGATACCCTTTCGAGCGGACGATATTTAATCCTTTTTCCGAGAGTGGATGCTTCCCGTGGACCGCGTCGTATATTCCCGATTAAAAATGTGTTCGTAGTTGCCGCGAGCGTCCCATTCGTTTCTTCGGCCACGAAACTTCCAGACAATTATCTGAAGTACACCTCTATATTTTCCCGAAAAGCGGTAAAAATCCTTGCCGACTGCCTTTTTTCGTGCGTTCGCCGCGAAAGGAGCGCGAGATGGTGGTCGCGACGGAGCGGCGAGTAAAGCGAGAAAGAGAGAAGTGGAGGGCACGGTAATGACTGTCGCTACTTTTCCGCCGTGTCGGAAGCGCATTGCGCCATTTCCGTCAGACCGGAAGTGCGGTAACAAAGCGCTTCCGGCGTGCGGTCTCAAGGAGGTTGTTACGACGAGCGCGAGTGAGCGCGCGGGAGCACTCGGTGACATTTCAATGAACTTTGCGGCGGGTACCGTTCTCTTCCTAAAGTTCAACGGGTCTAACGTGCGTTTCGGGTGTTGACGAACCGGCGGTATTAAGTGTCCTATTGTGCGGCTTCGTGAGCGATATTAACTCGACGACTGCCGCGGCGATTCCGCCGTGGCGGAATCGCGCCGTGTGTAGCCGAGCAAAATCGTGAGCCATTAAGCCCCGTACTCTTACGACGAGGAAAGACATTCGTTAGTCGAACGAGCCCGCGGTCGGGCACGCGTGCGCGCGCGCGAGCGAGAGAGAGCGAGAGAGAGAGAGAGAGAGAAAGCGGGCTCGTTTCCGCGGCACGCGTTGCATGTCGTCGTTATGCGCGTCTTGCAAATCGCGGAAACTGTCGGGAGAAATTGTCATGGCTGACACTCGGATCGCTCCCGACAGTCTCGGAATTTCAGCCTCACCTTTTCAGACTTGAACCTTCCAACATCTGCATACTTTGAAGGATCAGTGGATGTGTAATACACATGAAATCCTACTTAATGCCTCTAAATGGCAGAAAATGTACAAAATGCCACTTGTAGGTTCTTGAGGTTGAGGCTTCGCGGAGTATCAAAGTGGTCGTTAAATGAAATATGGAGTACGAAAATATAACCAAAATTTTGACTCGGGGGCTGCGTTGTCGACTGTAGGTGCTAAGTATGACTTCAATTTTCACGTATATTAAAGCATACATCGATCCCGAGTCGAAATTTTAGTTTTACCTTAGATCTGAAATATCTAACATCTGTATATTCTGGAAAATCAGAGTATATATAGTACACATAGAAACTGAAATCCAACTTAGCGTCTCTAAGTGACAGAAAACTCGAACTTATCTAACTTGTTTGAATTAACTTAAAACTAAACAATTCTTTTTCGGATAAAGACTTAATAAACTTAGATTAAGATTTAAACGCTGCTTGCTTCTCGTCATTTTTGGCGACAACGATACTTTATTGCTATGCCTAACTAAATATATACGTAAGGTTATTATCATTAACATTATAGTAACATTTGCTCCAAAAAATATTTATCCCGACTATAATTCATTTACTGAGTACTTATAGTCACAAATACCAATCACACGTGTTTCAGCTTGAGCTCTTACAAACTCTAAAAAACTCCTACACATATAATTTGAGTCTTTCTAGACATAGAGTGGAAAGAATTATCGTCGTCACACATATATGTGACACGCTGGTAGCGAACGGTGCAAGTCCATAGTTTTCTGTTACGTCTGGGTTTGCAGTCACGGTTCACGCACGTTAACACCGACGGGATCTCATCCGAACGCGATGAAAAACGAAGAGAGCGCTTCTTCTCTAAGGAACGATTGTAGATTCGCGAATTGCGAGCTACCGTACCGCGCGAATCGTGCAAAACGCATACACGCGAGCTGAAAGACCTCCTGATATCGTCTTCAATTGCGAAGCGCGCAGTGACATAACTTTTTCAGTGCGAACGCGCGGAATAAAGGTGGCGCGGTCTAGGAGCCGGTGTTATTTTATGAAAATTGCATCTCCCGTGCGTTCACTATCCGCCTTCCGAAGCGGCAGAACCCGCACACGTTACACCGGGAACATACATTACGTGCATCGTGCGCGATTAATGCGTCTGTTGTGTTATTTCGAATACCGTGCATTCGCGCATCAGCCTGCATGCGGCCCGTAGGTTAAATTTCATATATCGTGTTCCCGAAAGAGAGAGAGAGGGAGATAGAGAGAAAGAGAATGAAGGGAGGGAGAAGAGAGTTGCCTGCAATCTGAAAATACCAGTTACAGAATCAAAAAACTCCGGTTGCAGAGGTTCCGTTTATGTGAGGTCGATTCGAAATCACGTTGCGAAACGCTAAATTGTATCACCCGGTCGACGCGTGAAAAGATATAATATCTCAGCAGAAACATGACAATGCATTAATGACGTACTGATGACGTCAGAGACGTCATTTTCTGGGGCATAACGCGCGATTAAACGTGGAGTCACAAGGCCCGACAAGATTCCATCAATCGGAGCGGCTTTGCGCTCGAGTGGAGGAAATATTTAGGAGCACCCGCCGAAAAGAGGAGAAGCTACTCGCGCGGACGTAAAAGATAAAATTAATATTTCCGACGTGAAGTCGCTCTCAAGACTTGTCCGCGCCGAGAAGTTACGCGCATTCCCGTCTTACGTCGTATCTCGAGAACACTTTATTTCTCACGATTAAAGTTTCGAAGTCGCGGGTACAAAATTTTGGCAGAGAGATTCGCCGGTGATAAATAAGATCTGGTCGGAACTTCCAACGCGCAAGGTCGTCCTTACGTAACACAAAAGCGTGTGACATTTGTCCCGGCTACAAGTCCGTATCAAAAGAGAGCGCTCCATTTTTCACGATTCAACATTTTCTTTTCCTCGGCTCCGCGCTGGCACAAACGTCGTTCGATCCTCGGACTCGAGCCCGACGCGTCCCGATTGTTGTGACGCGCGACTACCGACGGCGGCGTCCACTGTGTCGTGATTTCGGCTACGCGTCGTAAATTATGTCCCTTCGGATTCTACCACCGAAATAAAACGCTGGAACGGTGGTCACGAGAGGTCGAGTGATGGGGTTGCGGGGGAAGGGCGACCGAGAGCGCGCGCACGCGTCGTAAAAACGTAAAAATGCGACGGTAGGCAAAGGTAGGAGAACAGCGCCGAGGGAGATAGAGGGAGTCCGGCAAACGGAAAGAGCGAGAAAATGTGAGATAGAGAGAGGAGAGAGGGGGGAGAGGGAGAGTGCTAACAAGGGGATGGGAGCGGCAGGGAACGGGCACAATTAAAATTAGCGCAATTCAGTCACTCGCCGGTAATTCGCGTGCCTGGCATTTATATTATTAAGTCGCACGAATTTCTCTCGCCACTTCAGCGTCTGTGTGCGTGCGCTTGCACCACCCTCCCCCTCCTGCCCGGCATGGCCTCCTCGTCAGGCTCTCGTCTATCGGTGTATATAACCCCTCTCGTGCACTATTCACATCGTCCTTTCTCGCGCGTTTTCTCGGCGCGACCGAACGTCGCTTCGTTGCCGCGATTATCCGTCAGCAAGGAAGTAATTCCGGGTTTCGAAGTGAATTACGTCTAATTGCTCTTATTGCGAGGACGAGACGGCTTTATTATTCCCTCTTCAATCTCGCCCTCCGACCGCGCCGTTATTCGACTTTTCAAGCTCGCACCTCCCTCCCTCCCTCCTTCCCCCCGGCTGCGCCCTATTCCGGCTGCGCTGCCGTCGCCGCCGCGTTTCCACGTCCGTGCTTTTTCCACGTGCGGCAAAAACACCGCGTTCCAAATGAACGTAGCCCGAGCCCGGCTGCGAGTAATTCTCGTTAACCCGCTATTTCACTTCGTCGGCCGGAGAGATTGGTATGATAAACGTCAGCGTCAGCTCGTTCGCGAATGGACGAACCGTTCCGAATCTCCGCGTTAGAGCCGTTTCCGATAAAGTTTGCACCCGTGATTTCCGGCGCTAATATTTACGGGATTAAGCCACTGATAGGACCGGAGATGTAATATCTTCCTACCAATAGAGCTCCGCGATATGCTTTTGCAAACCACGTGCGGCTGGTATTTTTTTATGAATTATTTCCCAGTCGCCATTCATGGAAACTTGGTTTTTAAACTTTCCAGGGAGAATCCCCCTTCGCGATTATAATATATTAAATATCACGCAATATATAAACAGAGAATTGAACTATATATATCGTGTAATATCTTTCTCCCGATGGTGCTATTGCATACAAAGCTTCTGAAATTTTTTATGAATTATTTCCCACATATAGTCGTCATTAATGAAATCCGATGTTTAAACTTTTCAGGAAATATCTCTTCGCGATTATAATATATTAAACGTAATATATTATAACATAATATACACAAAGAATTGGATTATATATCATGCAATATTTCTTCCAATCTTTCTCTCAACGGTTTCGCAATGCACACCACCTGCTGCAGATATTTTTTATGAATTCCCAGTCCCCATTTATAAAACTCAATTTTTAAACTTTTCAACAAATCCCCTTCTCGATTATAATATATTGAATACAACATAATATACAAAAAAAAATCAGATTAAAGTAACAAGATGCAATTTAAGATAGATTTTTGATGTCGGAAATCGATTTGCTTACCTTTGGATGTGTTCTCCTAGGAAACGCTACCTTTGGGTCGATCTGAAACGAGAAAACAGTCGAGATTGAAAACGCAAAATTTTTTAAAGCTTAACAGACAAGAATATCGCGAAGCAACGACAAAAACTTACGTTTAGCGCGCGGTGTTACTTTAAGTTTCGCGACGGATAAGTCTCGAACTACCTCGTGACCCCTGCAAACCATCTCGCTAAGAGAGAGGATGCAGCCGCGAAAAGAACATTACGCGGCGCACGCGAATCCAAACTCGGAAACAAATCTTATTCGTTCGCGAGTATTCGCGATGACAAGGCTAGCGAGAGAGAATATGTGTGAGAGTGTGTGTGTGTGTAAGAAAGAAAGAGAAAGAGAGAAATATGAAAATACGTATTATACGTGAGCGCAGTGGGAAAACGTGGAAAAGACAGGAAACAAGAATGGACGAACGAACAAAGAGGAGGCTCTCGCCGGACTGTTTTCCCAGTTGAAATCCCCATTACAATTAATTACATAGTAATAAAGAGTAGGTGCTCGAGAACTCCGAGAGTCGACTAAACCGAGCTCTCGGTTGCCCTCGCCGCCGTCGCCGCCGCGGCCGGGCAGCGGGGCCGCCTCTTTTCACTTCGCGGACGATCCCGAGGGGGATGAACACACCGGCTAAGTCGGACGTAAGCGCACCTTACGTTCCGGACTCTGGCTAAAAAGCGAAGGCTGGAACGGCCCTGAGAAACCCGCCGCGGGAAAGCCGGGAAACTTCCGCGCGCGCGACAGCCGCGTAAATTTTCAACCCGCCGGCGGACCGACCCACTCGAATGCTCCCCTTTGTTCCCCGATTTCTTTCCGGGCAGCATCCCCTTGCCATTTAACATTTATCATGGAAAGACGAGTTAATTCCGATCGATAAGTATGTAAAGTGTCCAACGGCGTGAGTGTTAAGTCTGATCTACAATGTGTTCTTAGCTTCTTGCTTCTTACCTTCTGCCTGGCTCAAGACTTTAAGGCTTAAATCAGAAAGAGATCAAGAGAAGAAAGCGGGAGGCAAAGAGCGTATTGCAGATCGCGGGCTTTAAAGTACAAGTATTCGCACGCTCCTTCTACATTTCCGCGCAGAATTTTATTATCCAATTAGGATCGCCTCGCGAAGCAGTATCCTCGCGATGTGAGGCTCTACTATACCCGGCTTCCGCATCGACACCGAGGCGAAACGCGATGACGGCTATTTGATAGCTTCCATGTGTCACGGATTCAAATCTCGGCTAGTCATCCCAAATATCCATCTAGGATACTTCCGAGCACTTTGGTCATCAAAGGACCTAATCTCAAATTCCCGAACTGTTGCCGGTCGAGACGAATAGGTCTATTTATGCTGATTAGTAATGCTTTTGGATCACACGACTTCACCCCATTAGGGCCGCTACTACGTTTTCCTTTTGACCAGCCGTTCTGGTCCGCATTTCTTAACGGTTTCATGCCGCGCATTTATAATCGATATCGGCAAAGCGATTATTTGAGGTCTATGTGAATCGTGCATTCATTACATCGTCAATATGCCAAGTAATCTCCATAGAAATGTGTTTTACGAGGGTGCTCTTCCCTTACAAGCTGCACGCGAAAAAAACGGAGTCTAAGCCTGCATAGATATATTTTTCTAAATTTCCTTATATGCAACGTACACTGAGAAAAAATGTCTTACTATAAATTATGAGGCCAAAACAATGATTTTAACAATTAATTTTCTGTCTGGAATCGAAATAGAAATACTAAGGAAACTCGTGATTGTTTTTAGTCAGTAATGTTAATAAACTTTTATTATACAGAGAAACAGAGAATTCCATTTTTATATCAATTATTCAACAAAATAAAATTTCATTTTTATATTAACTATTCAATAGAGTAAAATGTCAAAAAATAAGATATTCCCGAAATAATTTGAGTATTTTATCGAATAATGATATTACTTGGAAAGCCGATGTTTTACTTAATTCTAACGAACAAAAACTAGAAAAAATATTGAAAAACTTTTTTATTTCTCTCCATTTAAAATCTTTGAAACATTAATGCTTCTATCCAGAACCTACAATTATTTTGGGAAATCGAGTTCCCAATTGCATTCCAAGAAATTTTCAATGCGGGAATTAATGCTAGAAAAGAAAACATCCTTAACTTATTCTCATGTTAGCAACGCGATTATAGATCGTTGTGATTATTTCTGAGATTTTTATAAAGTGAACAGAATATTCGTGCGATTTTTAATGACGCTCGTCGAGGATCCCCATTACAACGCTATCACCGGCATTCGCGAAGCTACCTCGACGAGCTGGAAAATCTCGGTTTTCTCTCGTTCCTTCGTCTGACGTCTTCGCGAGACAACGATCGCGATCTCGAATTATTTTATCGAGTCGGTGCGCGAGTTTTCCAACGCTCGTGCTCGCCCGCGTCCGCTTGTAATTAGCCCTGAGAGTGTGCGCGCTACTTAAAAAAGAAAGAAAAGAAAGGAGGAAGAAAGAGTATATTCTTTCCCTCTCTCTTTCTCTCTCTATCTCTCTCTCTCTCTCTCTCTCTCTCTCTCTCTCTCTCTCT